AATACTGTTCAGTTTCTTGCACAGACCGATCGTTTTGTGTCTTTACACATCAATGTATCGTCACGAGCCACAGGGTTTAATTTGGTTTTGTTTGTGTATGTTTTATGACTCTCAAAGCCATGATTCCCATTCACTTCCATTATAAGACTGACAGACTGCAACGGTTTGAGTTAAAAATCTTTGTTTGTGTTCTACTGAAGAAACAAAGTCACCTACATCTTGGATGCCCTGGGGGTAAGCAGCTAAACATCACATTTTCATTTATGGGTGAACTATCCCTTTAAGTTAGATTGTTCTAAATGTTTCTCCTTTTTATCATCTTGAACATCCTAATTTGTCATTGGCCCGTCATTCTTATGTTCGAGTCTGACTCTTTCACATCTTTAAATGAGAGCAGAGATATTTTGAGAAATAATCACCTCTCCACTTCAGCTCTCAGTGCTCCTCTCAGATTCTTCTCTTTCTGTGAATCTGTAGCCAAATATCATTATTGTTGCAGTTAGATTCAGAGCAATTACAAAGAGCTGGAAGCATACATTTTAAAATGTCAACCGTAATGTCAAATGTAAAAGTCTGATAAACCAGCTTAAACCATATACAGGTAAGACCAGCAAACCATCTCAGGCAGGTTTAAGAGCTTTTTAACCAGGATAGCGCACATGTGAAATACTGTGTTTCAAACTAGGGATGTGTTTCTCAGTAAGATGGACCCTTGGCTTCATTATGGTCCTGACACACACTTATGTCAATACATGACTTTAAAACTCGATGCATCATGAACTTTCAGCAGCTTCTCTCCTGCATATACAGAGTTCTTGTCAATTCCTTGACCTTCATCTCCGACTATATGAACCTTTCTTTCTGTATTTTGCGTGAAGTATTCTTTCAGTTCATTGGCTCGTCGGGTTTTACCACTGCACGGGTAACCACACATTAATATTAAAGGCATTTTATTAAAGTCTGGATGACGGGTGGAGATTCATACTTCTCTACAGTGCTCCGTGGGAGATTTTCTTCTTCGCGCTCATGTATTGTGCTGATATGGCCAGTGCATTGCTGCCCTCTACAGGCCTGTGGTCAGAAGGTAAAACGTTCCAGATAGGGATGGGCGATACCCCTTATTTTGTTTTCGATACGATACCGATATTTTTCAAGGCAGTATCGTCGATATCGATACCGATTCGATACTTCTGCACTAAACTTTTAAATTATGAAATGTATTAAATTATTAAATTACTAAGAGTAAAATGGGTAATGAAAACCACTTAACTTTATGTTTAAAACGCATTTTAACCCGTTTAATCCCAAATTTTTCCCAGACATGAAAATATCCAAATGATGTGTCATTAGTAACCCTTTGAAATAATCAATAATTTTCAACGTTTTTTTTTGGAAAAGTGTGTGAAAATTTTTATTTTATGGTCAGTCACAATTGTAACCGGTGGGATAATGTGTATACTGAATTAACATATTTCTGCAGTCTTAAAAATTGTTATATATCTTAGCCCAGCTATTTTAAACTGTTTGATCACATTCTAGGGTTACTATTATGCATAAAAAAAACCTTATACAACATTGATAGGAATACTGAGACCAAATACAAAAAAATGCAACCATCAACGTATTTCAAAATTGTTACTTTTTTGTAACATATATCATCACATTTTTATATTAGTGCTACCAGTATTACAACATTAATATTCTAACTTATTTGTAACATTTGAACTTTTGATTTAGTGCAATATTTTGTACTGCCATTAGGGACTGCCAGTGAATGGCTGTTGCATGCATAAAATGCAACCTTTTTATTCTGACAGTGTATGATTTCTATTAACATTACAGAATAGAACATGATCAATATTATCTTTCAACGTTCAATTTAAATAATTGTAATTGCACAAACTATGTAGGCTACAATTTCAATTTGTTTATTGTGAAATAACTCAAACATTTATGTTTTTATTTCTGTTCTCTGATAAGCATTGTTCAGGGCTGCCATTCCCAAAAGCTTTAATGCTTTTTTATGATACTTTTGGGAAACGCAGCCCTGTTTGAATGCACTGTCAGCAGTGAGTGAATGCTCTCTGTGATTTATTGGTTCTGTCTTGCAACATTTGCGTGTGTTCAGATGAGCAGGAAAATAGTTCTATCCTACACAATTATTCGCTAACAAAGGTTATTCGTCCAATTCAATGCATATTGTACGCATTATTATTATTATTTTTGTTAAATAAATAAAACCACTGGTAAATAAAACACACCTTAGTATCGATATTTTTTGTTTGAGTATCGATACTTTCGATACTCGCGTCAGTATCGATATATCGATACTTCGGATCGATACGCCCACCCCTATTTACCATTGCCAGCTGCTCATTCAAAAAGACTACACATTACAACATATTACAATAGAAACACCATAAAGTAAGCATTGCTTATGATCTACTGTTAATTATAATGACTTATTATGATCCTTTGGCATGAATGCATGTTATTTATTGATTGTAAACTGCTCTGAATTTGGACGTGTAGCTCTGACATATATTTAATGAAACCAAAGTCTTTTGAAGGTTAATAATCACATTAGGCTGTCATACAAATCCTGTTTTCCATCCCCAAATTTTAGACATA